ATGAACAAAGGAGCCTAGGGCCAAAATCGAACTAAGTCAACCTAAAACTCTTTTTTTACTCTACCTAAAACTCTACCAGCCAATGACTTCAGCCAGTCAAAAAAGCGTTTTATGTATTCTCACTTTTAGGTAGTCTGCTGTGGTTGGGACCGTCATAAATAGAGTCTCAAGTCCTTTCCACAATTTTCCAGTTGTTTCTTTTATTATTCTTAGGACTGTTGACGCTCCCATTTTAAACGTTATAGACAAATACTTAAAGGTGAAAATACATAAAACGTTTTTTTTCACTTTTTTGCTTGCTTAAAAAGAACGTAGGACAAAAACCTTACTAATTCAACCTAAAACTCCAATGACTAAAGCCAGTCAGAAAAGCCTTTTATGTACTCTCACCTTTACAATTTCACCGTTTGCCAGATATCTGAAAATATATCTGTGAAGGCTATTATCTTCCAAAATGTGTCACAGCGAAATATCAGTTTGGTGGAATGCCATGCCAAATTCCAGATAATAATTTCATGTGTATTTATATACATACATCAAAGTTAACAAATAAAAAAGCTGTAAGTTCGGCCGGTCCGAACTTTGAATACCCTCCACCATTGGGAACGAATTTAGAAATTTTCAAAAAATAAAATCCTTAAAAAATTCTGTTTAAATTTTAAAAATACCGAATTTAGCCGTTACGTTGGGGTCTAAACGACGTGGACCTACAAAGGCATTGTTTGTCATAAGTCATTACCATATCCAAATTCGATAACTTGAAATATACAGTGGATATTGTAGCTAAAATCATCAAAATATCGTCTATAGGGAGGTACCGTTATATCGGAGCTGTGCGAAGACCTGGACCAGCATAGACAATTTTCTGTGACAGGCTGTAGTATCCATTACGAACTTCAAATGCGACATCTCAAACAATTTCGGTGGGTTTTGTACCTAAACTCGTCAAAATACCGAATATAGGGAGGTACTGATATATGGGGCCTATACGAAGACCTGGACCTGCACAGACAATTTTCTGTCTTAGGCTGTAGTATCCATTACGAACTTCAAATACCAAATTTGAAACAATTTCGGTGAATAATGTCGCTAAAATCATCAAAATACCGAATATCGGGAGGTTCCTGGTTAAATGGGGGCTATACGAAGACGTGGACCTGTCATAGGCTGTAGTATCCGTTACGAACTTTTAATACCAAATTTGGAACAATTCTGGAGAAAAATGTCCATAAAGTCATCAAAATACCGAATATCGGGAGGTACCGTTATATGGGGCCTATACCAAAACGTGGACCTTCATGGCCCATTTTCAATACCAAAAGTTCTGCAGACATAATACGCATTTGAGTAAAATTTTATCAACCTACTTCATTTCGTTCGGAAGATAGAGTGATTTCCACAGACGGACGTACATCGCTAAATCGACATAGAATTTTATGCTGATCAAGAATATATATACTTTGTGGGGTCTAAAATGTATATTTCGAGGTGTTACAAACGGAATGACAAACTTAATATACCCTCCATACTATGGTGGAGGGTAAAAAAACAATATATATTTTGCAGATATAACAGGTTTATGTGATTTTTTAAGTCCAAGGCCGCTTCCATCATCTTATGAAGGTCGTCAAAAACGGCGGGACTCATTCGCTCCGTCCGCCCGTGCTTCCGCCTGTTGTCAACACGCTAGAGTCAAAACAAATAAAAATAGGAAACTAAAATTTTGCACCGATCTGTCTTTTGCCTGCAGGCAGGTCAAGTTCGAAGATGGGCTATATCGGTCCACGATATCGTATAGCCCCGCATAACGGTACCCCCCGATATTCGATATTTTGATGAATTCAACCACATTTTTCAATGGAATTGTCTGCACAAGGAATTCTTCATGACTTCTTTACCCTCTGAAAAAGAATTGTCTATATAGGTTCACGATATCGCATATCCCCCATATAACTGTACCTGCCGATATTCGGTATTGATGTTGATTTTAGCTACATTTTTCATGGCGTTCACTGTGAGTACTTTAACACCTGAAAAATAATTTTGTTTTTGGTATTTTAATGATTTTAGCCGCATTTTCCACAAGGAGTTCCCTCTGAGTACTTTACCCTCTTGAAGAGAATTGTCTATAGCTACCGCCAGATATTTGGTATTTCCGGCATTTTCGCGGTATTATTCACCGGATTTGAGGTTCGTAATGGGTTGTACAACCTATGAGGGAAAAAATGGTACCGCCCTATGTTCGGTATTTTGATAATATTAGCGGTATTATTCACCGGAATTGTTTTCAATTTCGTATTTGAAGTTCGAAATCGTTACTACACACTATCACAAAAAATTATCCATTGCCACGCCCGTACGTATAGCCCCCATATTAAGGTTTTTACTTGAGCGGTATTTTTTGACCGATTTTTTTTTAATTTTTCAAGTTCCTTCCTACTGTTGGAGGATATCAAAAATTCGGACCAGGTCGAATTTTAGCTCCTTTTCTACTTATATCAAATAAAAAGCAGAAGGAAATGTCAAAAAAATGTCGACCTACTAAGCGTTGTATGTACATTAAGGTTGGAATACATAAAGCGGTTATATTCGGTATTTTGATGATTTAAGCGACATTATTCACCGGAATTGTTTCAAATTTGGCATTTGAAGATCCAAATGGATACTACAGCCTAAGACAGAAAATTGTCCGAACAGGTCTAGGTCTTCGTATAGGTCCCATATATCAGTACCTCTCCATGTTCGGTATTTTGACGAGTTTAGGTACAATACCCACCGAAATTGTTTGAGATGTCGTATTTGAAGTTAGTAATGGATGCTATAGCCTGTGACCGAAAATTGTCTATGCTGGTTCAGGTTGATTTTAGCTTAATTATTCGCCGTTTACTTCAAGTTTCGAATTTGAATATGGTAATGGCTTATGACAAACAATGCCTATGTAGGTCCACGTCGTATAGACCCCAATATAACGACTATATTCGGTATTTTTAAAATTTTAACAGAATTTTTTAAGGATTTTATTTTTTGAAAATATCCAAATTCGTTATAACTGGTGGAGGGTATTCAAAGTTCGGTCCGGCCGAAAGCAAAGTGAAAAAAATGTCGGAAATAACATAAATTTTAGAGTTTAGATTTGTTCGAATTGGTTAGCTTTGACTCGAATTATGACTTTGAAATGGCCAATGAAACCGTCACAGGCTGCCCGAATGTTGCTCTGCGGTATTTTGGCCCTTTCCCGGGGAAGGGTTTGATTGAGATTATCGACACTTTTGGGTTTTTTAATGCCAACCTTGCTTTCCAAAATACTCCAGACACAATAGTCCAACGGATTGGTATCCGGAAATTTTGGTGGCCATTGTGCGCTGGTAATGATTTGAGGAACCATATTTTGTGCATTCCTGTTGGAATGTCCAAGGTCTGCGGCCGAAAAGTTTGCATGCCCAAGGCTTCAATACACCCTCCAGAATATTTTCGCAATAATATTCGGCATTTATTTTGATGCCACGGTCGATTTTCAGCTGACCTCTTTGGCAAGTAAATACGATCATTTTTTTTGTTAACAAACTGCTGGACAACAAAAGTTTTCGCATCGAAGAAACGAAAATTCGGCAGTTCATTACTTTTGGCCAAGCGAAGCAATTTTTTAGCTCTTTTGAGTCTATTTCCTTTCTGTTGCGTTGTAAGTTCTTGCACTTTTTAAAATTTCAATGGCTATATCCCGAGCTCATTTTTCAATATTTGCTGAATGGAATATTGCGATATGTTCAGCTTACGAGCCATTTTTTGCGGCCCCTGCGACGCGGGTTTCGATCCAGTCGTTTCTTTACTTTTCGAACCATTTCTGCTGATTTTGCTGTTTTCTTGCGTCCAATTCCTTGACGTCGTCGGGCTACGCTCCCGGTATCACGGTAACGAGCGATGGTACGAGACACAAAAGATTTATTCACATTGAAATGCTGGAGTACTCTAACGATAGCCACTTGTGTTTTTCCAGCCAAATATAAGGAGATCACACTATCACGCTTGAGATCCATCACGAAGAACTTTTTTTTTCTGGAAAATTCTCACCAAAATACTTTTGTACGCTGGTAATGAGCTGTCGGACGAGTGGCTTAGAAATGACATCAGTCGGAAATTGATTGCAGTTTTTTCATCTCACCCTGCTACATGCGTACATCCAGTAACACAAGAGAACTATGTAAAGAAAAGAACGATGAAAGAGAGTGTAAACCGGGATCAATAATTAAAAGACGCAAAGTCTTTACGATTTGACTTAACCTCAATTATCATTAAGTGTAAATGAGAGAGAGAGAGAGAGAGAGGGAGAGAGATACCAACCATGGTAGAAGAATATAGGTAGACGCGTCGACACAGCTGCTGGGACCATGAACTGTCAAACCAATTTTGGAATTGAAAATGTTGAATAAAAAAATATTTAAATTTGTAAAAAAATTTGAAAAACGCGAAATATAGCAGCTCCGAATGACGTAGTATAAGAAAACATATAAAATCTACTTATATTTGACATTTACATTTTTTTGACATATAAATGCTCCCAAGTGTTGATGCATCTACCTGTATTCTTCTGCCATGATACCAACTGTACACATGCCTATGCACCACAAACCTTAAGGGGAGGTCATAAACACGCATAGCTATCTCCCTTGTGGCAAGCAAACTTGCTGCACTTGCTTATCAGCCTGAGTAAAGATTACATCCCGCATCCTGACTCCACCATGACACCTGCAGCAATTGGAAATTCTATATTATTTATTTCTAACTCGAAGGTCTGCTCACCACATTTTCTTAACTTATTTAATGTGGACTGTATTAAGAAGATCCCTCTCATCCTGCTATTCCCTTTTATTATAAAAACATGTTCACTTACCCGTGAATAGAGAACAATTCCAAAGAACTATATTACAGTCGGAACTATTTGGAACGAAGGAACTAGGGATGGCTATTAAAACTTTTTTTTTTCACAATCAAAAAAGTATTTATTTATTTCTTTTATTTTCCGAACTTTATTTAGTTTCAAAAAAACACAGGGGAAATCAATCAAGTCAAAATGTAAGTATCTATTTTACTACCACGCTGTTGGCACACGAGCACCACATATGAACTTTCCACAGTTGCTAGCGGGCTCCAGATGGGTATTTGGATCTTTACGCCAATCACCTAGTTCTCCAAATTTAGATTTCTCCCATATCGCCAGCAGGATTAAGTGAAGGATTGCAATAATATTTACATAGTTTAGTTGCATGATGTTGCTGCGAGGTGTTTTCGTTTCAATAACTCAGTGACGATTGATTGAATATCGCTATACCTATAATGAAAATCAATGAGGTTCAATTAGTATTTGAAGCGAATTTAATAATAAAATGCAACAAATCACCATCTATTGAATTTCCCATGTCGTTGTCGTCAAGGCTACTGAAAAAGAATTTCAGAAATGTGGTCAAATTTACCGTAACCACAGAACAATGTCAAGTTCTGATTCACTTACTTGACTCAATTTAGATACACATTGATCATTGATTTGAAAGCCCTTGTTATAGGTAAAAAATCGATTTAATTTTGGAAAAGATTGTGTACGAAAATGTGTATGTTTAAGGGAAGGGAAGGGTATTCTTCTATAATGATCGAGGCAGAAGTTTTTTCCACAATTTTCCAGTTGTTTCTTTTATAATTCTTCGGACTGTTGAGGCTTCCATTTTAAACGTTATAGACAAATACCTAGCATTTTCGCCGTTTTCCAGATATCTAAATATATATCTATATGGTCTGCAGGACTTTTGGTACTGAAAATGAGCTATATCTCCTATAGCCCACATATAACTGTACCTCCCTATATTCGATATTTTGAGGTTTTTGGCGACATAGTTCACGACATTATTCACCGGAATCATTTCAAATTTGGTATTTGAAGTTCGTAATAGATACTACAGCCTAAGACAGAAAATTGTCTGTGCAGATCCACCTCCTCGTAGAGCCCCCATATAACGGTGCCTCCTGATATTCGGTATTTTAATGATTTTAGCGACATTTTTCACCGGAATTGTTTCAAATTTGGTATTTGAAGTTCGTAATGGATACTACAGCCCAATACAGAAAATTGTTCTTACAGGTCCACTTCTTCGTAGAGCCCCCATATAACGGTACCTCCCGATATTCGATATTTTAATGATTTTAGGGAGATTATTTACCGGAATTGTTTCATATTTGGTATTTGAAGTTCGTAATGGATACTACAGCCCAAGACAGAAAATTGTCTGTACAGGTCCACCTCTTCGTAGAGCCCCCATATAACGGTGCCTCCTGATATTCGGTATTTTAATGATTTTAGCCACATTTTTCACCGGAATTGTTTCAAATTTGGTGTTTGAAGTTCGTAATAGATACTACAGCCCAATACAGAAAATTGTCTGTGCAGGTCCACCTCCTCGTAGAGCCCCCATATAACTGTACCTCCCGATATTCGGTATTTTAATCATTTTAGTGACATTTTTCACCGGAAAATTTTCAAATTTAGTATTTGGAGTTCGAACTGGATACTACAGCTTAAGACAGAAAATTGTCTGTGAAGGTTCACGCCTTTGTATAGCCGCCATATAAGGGTACCTCCCAATATTCGTTATTTTAATAATTTTAGTGACATTTTTCACCGGAATTGTTTCAAATTTAGTATTTGAAGTTCGAAATGGATACTACAGCCCAAGACCCACCGAAATTGTTTGAGATGTCGTATTTGAAGTTCGTAATGGATGCTAAAGCCTGTGACAGAAAATTGCCTATGCAGGTCCAGGTCTTCGCACAGCTCCGATACAACGGTACCTCCCTATATACGATATTTTGATGATTTTAGCTATGTTATTATTCACCGTTTATTTCAAGTTTCGAATTTGAAAATGGTAATGGCTTATGGCAAACAAGGCCTATGTATGTTGGGGTCCACGTCGTAAAGACCCCAATATAACGGCTATATTCTGTATTTTTAAAATTTTAACAGAATTTTTTATAGGATTTTAATTTTTTGAAAAATTCCAAATTCGTTCCAATTGGTGGAGGGTATTCCTGCTTTTTAACTTGTTTTTATTTTAAAGAATATACAATGAGAATAAGCAAGATTTGCAAAAAGAAAGAGTTGCCACAAAAGACATAATTTCTTTCCGCACACCCCCCACCCCCACAGGATGAACAAATTAGGGAAAATGGAGTACACCATGGTAGAATTAAGAAGGTAAAGTCATGCAATCATATGTTTACATTTTTCTTTTCAGAATTGTTCATTTGACAACATCTAATTGTCAAATTTTTCATATCCATTGTATTCAGAGAAAATAAGTGGTGAACCTGTTTTTTATTCTCTTTTTATTTGCTGGCAGCAAATTTGGAGAATTACTGATTATACCCTACACCACAAGGTGGTCAGGGTATTATGTCTTTGTGCATTTGTTTGTAACAGAGGCAAAAGAAAACGAGATAGACCCATAGTTCCTTTTGATGATCTGTCTGTCTGTCTGTCTGTCGGTCTGTCTGTCCATGTATTTTTGTAAACAAAGTACAGTTCGCATTTATTGCCCTATCCAGGTGAAATTTTGCACAAATCATTTGTTTGACCCAAATACGAACCCTATTGAAATTGGAGATAATCGGTAAAAATTTAGATATAGCTCCCATATATATCTTCGTCCGATTTGCCTTTTATTGTGCACCAAACGTGTAATATCAGTCCGAATAGTATGGATTTTTGCACATACAACCAAATTAGACCTGAAAATAAGTATGCCAAATCATGATCGAAATGGGTTCAGATATAGCTATAGCTCCCACATATATTGTTCATCCGATTTGTTATTTTAGTCCTCCGCAGCCGTAATATGCACTCTGTAACAACAATATTTGGGGAAATATATTAAATACAGCTCAGAAATACATTTGCTAAGTTTTATCGAGATCGTTTCAGATTTGGATATAGCTCCCGTATATATCTTTATCCGATTTCAAATTAATTGTGCACCAAACGTCTAATATTTGCCCAAATGAGATAGAATTTGGCACTTACGACCGAATTGAGTCTAGAAGCTAGTATGTCAAATTTAGTGAAGATCGGTTCAGATATAGCTATAGCTCCCTGTTCGCGGAGAAATAAAAACACACCGGCGGGTTATAATGTATTTTCAAATCTGATCTTATTAAAGAATATTTCTTACTTAAGTGCTACCTAAACTATTCTAACTTAACCTAATCGCAACACACAATCTTTCTTATCTATTCTAAGGGCACGCTAGGAGGGATCTTGTGTCCCAACACTTAAGTGCGTGCTACCTAGACCATCTGAAGTGTTGCAACATTGGAATCGATATGAGTAAGCTGTGGGTAATGGTTAAGTCGCTCTCGAACACTGGAAAAAAGGCTGATAGGACCTTAGCCACTTTTAACAACTTCACGGTGCGCTGAGTAGTAAACGACAATTTTTCGAGCACCCCGAGTGCAACAGGGCAAAGCGAAAAGTGCTACTTCGTATAAGATCTCATCCCGCCGAGAAGGAACCACCACAGTTTACGATGGGTGATGGTGCAAATGTCATCCGGGACGTCAAGTCATCCAAAGCGTTGGACCCAGCGGGAATCTCATTGACAATGCTGAAACAACTGGATACGTCTGGAATTGAGCACCTGCCGAATGTTCTCAACCTGCCGCTAGCCAGCCACATAGTTTCCGAAGCCTAGAAAATGGATCGGGCGGCACCCGCTACTGAAGGCTGTAAGTAACGATGCCTGCAAAGGCGAATCGTACAGGCCGATTTCGCTTTTGTTGCCAGTAGCTAAGACTCTCGAGGCTTTATTCCTCTCCAGCATTAGAGGAAGCTATCCAGTTGTCAAGCATCAGCACGGATTCCGTCTACAACATAGTACCACAAGAACAACATTACACGCCATTTCTTCACACATATTAAAAGAGAATTGAACCAGAACAAGCCGTGTGATAGGCATTTGATACGGTTAATCATGGCACACAGTTTGAGGACGTGCAGAGAATTACCCTCCGCTCAGGCGTGAAACGTTGGCTAATCAACTATATGTGTGAACGCCAGTCGTACGCAGAATTTCGGAACAAGAAGTCCAAGTCCGTAGTCCTTGTCGCATACTTTCACGCAAGGAATATAAAAAAATCTGTCACGAAATCAATGGCCACACTCTTTACCACATGATGTGCGGAGATGAGAGAACAGCTGAATGTGCAGGTCGAGGGAAATTTAATACCGACCACGAACTACCCCCAAGACTGTGGGCGTTACATTCGACAGCATGTTCAAGTCGTCCGCGCAAGCCACAGCTATCTGCAACAAGATGAAAAATAGGATGAAAAGTAGGAACACTTGGGGTAAGGACGAGGAAGAGGTCGGTCTGTTGTCACTTATGCAGCTCCAGTGTGGTCTGCGAATTCTAGTGCTATACAGTGGAAGCACATCCAGACCTGCCAGAATACTGCCCTGAGAACGGCGACAGGGTGCCTGCTCATGACACCAGTGGACCATCTATGCCATGAGGAGGCGAAAGTTCGTTCCTTACGTCAGCATAATCATATGATTTTGTTGCAGTACCTGCTTGGGTGAGAGGTGAGGTGAGAGTCATCCCAACCATTATAGGGTGGATACAACTCCCCCACCCAGGCATGTTAGGAAGGACATACATGATCTAGATAGGGAGGTCCAGCGCCAGAAAAAAGAACCTCTAGATCTAGAAGCCTATCAGGCAGGTCTGAGTGGAATTCATACCGATTCAGTCGCAGATGCTATCAGCAATTACAGGATGAATGCCTTCCTCGTAGTCCCGCCCCACATTCGTTGCAGTTGAAGAACGTCAGCTGCCTAGACAAACCAGGGTAGCAGTTGGCACAACTACGTTCAGGACGGTGCAGTCGTCTCAATTCGTATTGGGCACGAATTGACGACCTGTACCTCTTTAATTCTCATCTCCAAACCTACCCAACTCACTTAAGAAGATCTTTGGTTACAGCCCGCTAAGGTAGCCGAATTCTTAAACCTAGAGCTTGGTCCAGATTACCAGAATACAAACATCCACATGTACTACTGCTTCAACAACAACAGACTCTGGAGATATAGATTACAGCCTGATTGACATTAGTACCTTATCTACGCGTTTTATGAAGAACCGTCATTTATTTGGCGAATAATCAAAGAAATTGACAACTTAATCGAGTGGCGAGAGCAATGGGAGAGCAGCTCTTCCATTTATGGTCCACATTTGTACTTTACACAATTGCTTCTTGGTTCCAGGTGTGTGTTTCGGAACGTGAATAGGTCGCTCCACATTAGTTTCCTCCCACAGGGCAATCGTAAAGTTCTGGAAAAAAAAAACACTGCTGTCAGAGAGGTATTTTTATGGTTGGGGGAAAAACAGTATCAACATGAACCATTAGTGATTGTGAAGCCAGTCATAAAATTGAAGGAAGGAATTTTGAATTTCAATTTTTGTATCAGCATTTGCCAGGAAATATCAGCTCAGTAAAGTCTGAACTAATCGAAATCGAC